TATGTACGCAAGAATCGTCAAGAAATTGTGGTTTGAGAAAGACAACACAACGCAGCAAGGTGTTCTGAAGACGAGAAAGAAAGTCACACAGATGGCAATCGCCGTGAGTGTCATCTACGCTGTATGCTGGACACCGGGTCTTGTCATGTACTTCCTGTCCTACATGTTACCGTGGAAACCCTTGCATTCCGTAATCAATAAAATAGCAGTCGTACTCGCAACTTTGAATTCAAGCGTCAACCCCATTATWTACAGTCTTCARAGTGAAAAGTTTCGACGACATCTTTTCGCGATTCTTTGCTGTGGAAGGCCATGCGCAACGTCTCGAGTAGGRCAMGAGGACCATGATCAAGAAAACCATRACCTGCAATCTCTAGAATCAGTGGCTTGAAGTGACAAGCTTTTAATTTATTTCATCATTACCATGAGGTAATGCTGAGCGAATTCCTGTCATCTCATGCGTCATATCAATGATAACTTYCAGGTGACGTCATATAGTGTGTGCCTATGACGTCACAAAAAGCAATGATGGTCTCAGAGTTTGAACGTTGGTTTTTCTTTGATATTTCAACTGTAAAAATGTACGTATTACTAAACTATAAGCAGTATGATTAGGGCAGAAAATGTTGAGGATGTAARTCGGCGTAGGGTATATAAAAATGGCCAATGATGGACCGTGGTCACAGTTTATAACTCATTAGAATGAATGGCTTYACAGAGGACGTGCACATTGGTTGGCGTCATCCAGTCGCTCGTTTTCCCATTAATTTTTCAACGCTTTAGTCTTTTACATTGACCGTTCTAATAAAACTACACAATACAAAGCAAACACGTTTCATTGCCAAGTTGTCTAGTGCCACTTGGAAAAGTACGTAAGTCCAATAATATCCTGTATTCATGAAAAGAAAGAATAAAACGAACACGTTTTAAAACTGTTAATCATTAATTCATGTTTTAACTTCTTTTTTTTTAATTAATTCTTGTTTTAACTTTCATTTTTATATTATATATATGATATACGTGTTATATAAAGGTTAGAATTAGACACAGTTGACACAGTACTTAGTCGTGTCTAATACTAACTTAGTCTATGTGTACCATAATGAACCGATTCAATTTCCTGAAGCTATCCAAAAATGCTTAGTGGACAGGTTTTTGATGTAAAATTTATGGTTGAAAGTTTTGAGTTTAGTCCGAATTCGTCTTCGTGGGAAGCAGTTCAATAAAAGCATTAATAATATAAGTTAGTAATAAAATTTATATTAAAACCACCGACGCCATTTTACTTTACCCTCTATATTGATAGGAATAATTATTAAAAAACGTAATGGTTCGATTATGGTGGTCGGTTTTAGTACAGAAAGTCCTCAGTTTCTGTACTGTAAAAGTTTATGTCAATGTTCAGTAAGGCCAAAAAAACGATTCTACAATCATTCTTCCTCGAAATTCAGCATTCAAATTACATTTTATTACTTTCTATTTTTCAAGTCTTTCCGGTTTTCATTTACATATTATTACACTTCGAATATTGCAGCATTTGCCTCAGTCAGAGGTCTATGAAAAATATTCTAAAACAGGTGTACTTTGTTAATATTTGTTAATATTTTTGGTGGTAGTTTTGAATCTCATATGACCCTACTACAGCTGCTGAATATTACACCAGCAGTGAAATGAAATTAAGACTCCGGATCAACCAATCATACTGCGTGCTCATGTACTGTCCATCAACAATCTACCAATCAGGTTGTTTGGTCCAGCAGGTCATCGATCAACCAATCACCTTTCATCAAATTAACCAATCGCAATATTTGATCAATAAGGTAGCAACCAATCAAGTTGCTTGGTTTATCAATATCGACCAATCGCACTACTTCGACTGAATTGTAATCAATGGCTGTTTCAGGGTTCAGTGGATTACGCCAACTCCATGCAAGAACTGTTTGCTGTAAAACTTTTTGACAAGCGTCGCGTGTGTAAACCGCAAAAGTCAAACACAAGACTGCCAAAGGTTTCAATCTTCGCTGAACACCTCGTCTTAGGTAAGTTCTATTTTGACGTATGAATAAATCACCAAAATATTTGAAATTGTATTTCTTTTTTGATTTTAAGTATGTATTAGGAATATTACCCCTTTCGACTGAAGTAGTTGTTAACTAGGATAAGGGTGAAGAAGTAAAGAAGACAAAGGCGAAGTTTATGGGCTGAATTAAACTTTATACGCGACGAAAGAARTATAACGGCTCCCAAAGGGAATTACTAAGCAGCATGAACTCATTAGTTGCTCACTGATCTTTTAATACTTCTTTTAAATCTTTCTCCTCTTTTTCCTCTCTTATAAGATCGAAACTATGCCAAAGGGGAAACTCTATAGAAACTCATGATCAATTGATTGTAATATGACTAAGAACGAAAAGTTACCGCAACTATTAGGCAAATAATAACACTGGCCCGCCATCATACTTTATTTATAATACATATATAAAAACAGACCCGTCTTAATTTTCAATAACATACGTAATTGAGGCGCAGGTGACATGATCTTCCCACCAAAACAGTCATGAAATGTTGCATGCAATAGTACCTACAATATCTACTCAGATAGCAATTATAAATGCCCGGAAGATAGTTATATAATTGGACTTTCTAACGTAACTAATTAATTTGATATACCGGTAGAAGTCAGTTAATTCAGTAGAAGTCAGTTAATTCACTTTAAAGGTCTATTGTCCACCAGCATTCAATGTGGTCGTGTTTTAGATGTTTTTTTTCCTACAAGGAAAATGAGGTGCCTTCGACTATTCGAAAGATTCGTTTCCATCTTTCGGTTGTTCGAATCTTACGCTATCTTATTCATAGAGCATAAATAATAAATAGTATAGGTTTTTTGCTTATAATGTGATGTATTTTCATTAACAAACATAAATTAACAAAGGTTTAACGTAGAAAAAATCGCAACAAAATTATTAGGAAAAATAATGGGTAATTTATTGTATAAAATTGGGAATATTTGGAAATTCATTGGAAACATCGTATCATAACGACTATCATAACATAGACATAGCGGGTTAGGTTAGAGTTTTTCTATAAGTTACCTGTTGCAAGTTATCTATAATTTAGTATCAATTAGTAGCGTCAACTATCTGGGAAACAAGCGACGCCCATGAACTGCAAAGTGCTAAAAGTTACTGGTGCCTTCAGATGGCACTTTACTCAGAGTTATGGTTACAGCCAATAGTGTTAGCTCATCTTAGGACGTTTTCGCTATTATCAATGTGATTAGATGCTAAAGCTTTACGCGTCGTTATAGTTTATGATTGTTTAGGCTAACAAATAACTTTAGGTATTTAATATTGTACGAGGGATCTAGTATAAATCGAACCCAAGCTTTATTGTAATTGAGAAACCAACTAGCCGTGCGCTAGAGTGCTTAGTATTCAAGATTAAAGCAAGAAAAAAAAAATTAAACAAAATTTAATAGATTACGGGCCCACGCCATTCGAGTCGGCTGCTACAAAGCCAGTCCATCCAGAAAGTTACCAGGAACCCGAACAAAATATTTACCGTAACAAAAGCTCGAAAGGGATACCTGTGGAGCATGGCCCTTTTCTAGAATTGCCTTCTGACATCGAATGTAACCAGTAACTTAATTAGCCTTCGTGAAAACACTTTGCGAACGAAACGGAATAAAAATAAAGTTTTTTTGAAAACACCTGTTTTAATTTACCAATGTCATGGTTTTTGCAAATTTAATTTTTTTTTATTTATTCTGTGCATTATAAATTTCCGTAATTTGGTTGATTCAAGTAAGGTGTTTTCGTCTATGCAATGCGTGTTCTGATTGGTTCAAACTTCTAATGTCCAAGACATATGGAATAACATGGCTTGAAAGCGCGCACATTGTTTTCAAAAAAGTCTGCGAATGTCATTGAATGGCCAAGAGTGTTTAAATACGAGGAGAAATCAAACATTGTATATTCCTATATACCCTTTTAATAAGTCCCGCACTTGACGTCAAATTTATTCTTTTGAATTCCTTTTGTATTGTAAAAATTTCAAAAGAATAAATTTGACGTCAAATGCGGAGAACTCAATATATCTCGGGACTTATTAAAAGGGTGTATAGTATGCGCGCTTTCGGCAGTCGTTTACGTATGAAACCATTCATAATACACTTTATACCGTACTACACCATATTCTTTATTTAATCTTCTTTTCTTTCTATCACTTGTTCAATTACACTTTGATTTGTTTCGAGGGGCTCGTGAAAACCATTCTAGAAACACTGGTATTCGATATTACACCGTATTTCCATATCAAGGAAATTGAATTCAAAAAGAGAACGCACAATTGCGTCATACAGTCGTCTCGACGTCAAAAAGTCTTAACACTTCTATCAATAGTTTCTCAGTCCACAGCGCGCGAAAAACGTTATATTAGTTTCCGTCATTCAAATAACTCGAGAAAGGAAAATACAGGAGCCGTAAATAAACTTACCGGCGACCTCATCACCTTTTTTTGGTTCAATTTATTTAATTTGTAAAGTATCTTCACAAGCGAAATTTGACATGAAGCTCCGTTTGATCTTTGTGAGTTCATAACTAATGAACTGACCGGTAAGGTGTTCTAAGGGTTTAGTATATGTGCTTTATTAAGCGGTGGACCAAACTTAAAGAAAAAAGGAAAGATATCATTTTAAAGAAAAAACAAGCAAATATCAGCCATGAAAAAAAAAACGTAAGTTCATTTAGACTGCCATCGAATTGACGAAGATAACTGACCTCGAAAGGAATATATGGTACTGAATAGTGAAATATAATTCGTTATGAAATCAAAAGAAAGAGGATGGGTGAAAAATAAAGCCGAAAAATGAAAAGGAAGGCACAATCAAAAAAAGAACTGAAAGAAAAATCGGCTTTTTACAAAGACTTTAGACAATCATCTATAGAGAAACGCAATACAATTGATTACACTAGATCTACCTATTTACACGGTCCCACAAATACAAATTTCCGGTCCGACTGCCCGCAACTGTCATCTAAGCTCAAGGGATTACAGTCTCATTCAGGCTGTTTTGATGTATCAATTAACTTACACAGTAAATACTAAAACTGAAACATTATTGCTTTTACTTCTAAAGGTTTCTTTGAGTGAGTAATTAGACCCAGTGAAAGATTTAGATAACCAAGAACGCTTGCAAAGAAGGAGTGACGGCAATTAAGGTAAGGAGTTTGAAGGATGAATGATAAAAAAGGAATTTATCAAACTTAATTGTGTAAAAAAGGGAGATAATGTAGCCTTAAGGGGGAGTTTGTGTACAGCGCAACTCCTCAAGAAAGAGAGCGAAACATCCATGACTTACAGAGAATAATATAAATTTGAGAAAGACGATGCACTGACAAATTTGAAAAAACAGAGTCTTTTTGGTTTGACCTTGCAATGAAAATGACTTTGTAGCTTTTTTAGTACTTGTTGGTAAAACAATCAAAAAGAACAAGAGATTCAGAGTGTGTAACACCAACCTCACTACGACACTAGTCAAATTAAAAGACTTTACAGCCCCAGTCATTTTAATGGGCTTCTACTGTCGGTCTTTATCCGCCATAATAAGACACTTCCCATTTTACCGACTTATTCCGCTCGTGTAAAATGGTCTAGAATTTCAGGTGTATCTTATAGCTGGGGAATTACAAGGTTTTTTAAATTTCTATATTGACATTAGATCATATGTACTACGTGCAAAATATAAATAATACATCAAGACATGCTTGACAATTAAAACATTGGAAATATATTTTTAGGAAGACAACCGCTTTTCAATAGGACGACCCAGACTTTATATTTATTATTTTTTGGAAAGCTTTTGAAGTGGTGTGTTTACGGATTCAAAATAGTTTAGTGAGCTCTATGTCTAAATGAAAAAAATGTTCTTTTATACCGTTTCCTCTTCGTTTCTGCAATTATAAATCGATTTTTAACGTTTTCAGATGTAAAAAGGAAAAGAAAAGGTCAACCTATGAAGACACTTTTAAGAACAGTTTATAAGCGATTGAACGAYTACGAGCCAAGTCAAATACTGAAAGCCTGTTTCAGGCGAAAGGAAATGAACGTCATTCAAGTAGAATGACAGCTAAATGTCTCTTGAGGAGGGACGGGCAAATAATTGATTGATATGTCCCCGGCTACTCTCAGATGTCTGCAGATTCTGACTCAAAGTTGGTAGCAAACAAAAGACGCTTATAAGATATTCCAGATAGAAAATGTTCTACTGCTCATGCGTTAATCACTGGTCAAAACCGGTTTTTAACGACAGATGAAATACAGAGTTCAATTTCATATCACTGATCAATATGGTTCAATTAAGAGTGTTGAGCAGATGTGTTTCACAAGTTCGACAGCTAAAGAACTATTGAAAAACAATAATTAAGCTCTTACTGGCAAATTGTTGTTGTTATGACAACTGGAATAATTTAAAGTTGAAATCACTGATGGCTGTTCGAGCCCCTTTACATAGTGACATCTTCAATACGGTCATTCATATTTGCTGTCACTACTGTCTTGCAGACCGCAAAGCCTTCACAATGATGTCCGACGATTACATTGGCTTGACGTTTGCATTTACCGTAATGGTATTGACGGACCTAATAGGAAACACCCTAGTYATCCTGGTTGTCATGCGCAATCGATCCATGCAGACGCCAATGAATTACCTGCTGGTGAACCTGGCCRTCGCAGATATGATGGTCGCCATCTTTATTGCCGTCCAGTTCATCTTTGGACCTCTCTACACCCACCCCGATGGCTCCATTGGTGTGTTCCTGTGCAAGTTTATAACCGGGGGAACACTAACTTGGACTGGAGCTGTGTCTTCGGTGTTTAACTTGGTCGCGATATCTGTCGAGCGGTATTACGCAATACTGTTCCCGCATTCTCAAAAAGGAAGAATCAGCGGTCGTAATCTGAGGTATATAATTACAGCCGCGTGGATAACGTCATTGTTGTGGAACACGCCTTTGTTTATTAGCGTAACATATCGCTACGACATCAAGCGTTGCGGTGAGCAATGGCCCAACTTAATCCTCCCCAAGATTTACAGCTTTGGATGGAACGTTGTTGTTGGCGCTATTCCCATTGGAATCATGACGTATATGTACGCAAGAATCGTCAAGAAATTGTGGTTTGAGCAAGACAACTCGACACAGCAAGGTGTCTTGAAGACAAGAAAGAAAGTTACACAGATGGTGATCGCAGTGAGTGTCATCTACGCTGTATGCTGGACACCGGGTCTTGTCATGTACTTTTTGGCATACATGTTACCGTGGGAGTCCGTGCACTCCGTAGTCYATCAGGTAACCATTGTACTCACGACGTTTAATTCAAGCATCAATCCTATTATTTACAGTCTACAGAGTGAAAAGTTTCGACGCCATCTTTGCGCAATTCTTTGCTGCGGAAAGCCATGTTGTACTTCTCGAGTGGAACAAGATAGCCAGGAGAACCCAATCCAATCTTTAGAGTCAGCTTCTTGAATGCGACAAGCTTTTGTTGCGTTTTCATCATCATCATCATCATCATCATCATCATCATGCTGTCCATGTCATCGTTAGTCAGCATCAACAATGGCCAAAAGACAGGCGTTTTTAATTTGACAAAGCAGCAAATCGCCCGATCAAAGGGTTATGTATATATCGTTATCATCCATGCTCTCGGTAACTGATCTGGTGTATATAAATACCTTCCATGAGAGTGAATGGTCTGAGCCCAGGTGTAAGCGATGATTGTCCGGGTGTGAGAAGTCTTGAACAAGACTGTTACAGTTACCTGACGTTTCGACATCCCGCATGGAAGTCATCTTTACAGTGAGAAAACGAAGATGACTTTCACGCAGGATTTCGAAACGTCAGCTAGCTATAACAGTCTTCCCCAAGACTTCTCACACCCGGACGATCATATCACACCTACATTAAATACATGACCCTTCCATTTGGAAGAAACTATTTCTTGTAGAAATATTTCAGTGTACATGTTCACACTAAAAAGTGTATATACTCTATATAAAATTTAAGATATTACTACTATTACAATCTTGGTGTAGTGTGTCGAAAGAGGTGATTTTAAAAACGAAAACAGTTTAACATATAGCATGAAATTTACAAACTCTTTAGTGATCAGATTTAAAAAGATTTCTAGAAAATACTATTACAATGTTACCAGCCTACCATGACCTGAATAACAAAACCTATCAGTCCACTAGCTAGGACTAGCCAATCTATAAGAACTGTCCAAGACGGACGTTGACTAAAACTGTCACCATTCAAAAATGGCAATGTTTGTTTATCATTTAACAGAATGGATGAAATTGTATTCTTTCCTTTCCAGAATACGATGCGTGAAGTAAAAATGTTACCTTTTAGAATCTACGTGATGTGTAATATTCTTGCAGTGAATGCGATTACCAAAAAACGTGCGTATTATGGTATGCTTAAAAAATAAACAACAACAACCATACAAAATATGTCTCGAGTACTTTTTATTTAATGATAATTTGTTTATGTTTCAATGGTGTTATTTTGCCGGGTGTTTTGCAGTCGATCATCCTGCAATGCAAATTAAAAGTGTATAATATTATTATAGAGCAATAGACACGGAAACCCATTAACCCATTAACATTAATTTTTGTGAAAGCCAAACTACTTATACTACCAAATTAATAAATTGCTGAAAAAAAGAGCGGACTTTCATCTCCAAGCACTTAAGCATTTGAGTGTACTTTACGGATCTGCGAGTAATTTTGCATTTGCACGTACTTTGTGCATTTTCCCTTACGTAACACATGTTCACGTAATTTTACGCATTTGTCCTTACGTAACGCACGTTCACGTACTTTACGAATTTTATTCGCACTATATGGTTCTGCGCGTACGTGGAATGTATCAAATTACCTCCGTAAGTTTTGCAACAGCTTTTCTTGCCTCACTGTAAGAAAACAGAAGAAAATGAAAGGTCTGATTCCATGTAGTCTTCATGTGATATCTAAATAATGAAGTTCCCCCCTCCCCTTTCTTTCCCTCCCCAGTCCCCCAAGAGCCATTACGTAGGCTACAGGAAGACCAAATGATTACCTCGCCAGCGTGCTGTCACCTCGGTCTCTTTCGCGTAAACTTCGGATTATTCTCGGATCGTTCCATTTGAGTTGACTGAATGCTCGAATGACCTGTAGAGAGACATTGCATAAAACGAAAACGATTGTAGCAAACGGACCGCTATACTCCACGATGCCGGTATATACGTCTAATGCCATACCTGTATTCTTACATAGACACTCGAATCAAGTTCAAGAATATCCAATAAGGCCTTCATTTCTCTCCCTCCTTTCATACCAAGGGTTGCCTAACATCGAAAACACAAAAAAACTTTAATTTATAAGTTAAAGTTACTTTACATATATATGTAGACATGGCCTCTTCGACACTGACGCGTTGTTTTAGCGATTTTCCATGCAACGTAGTGGTAAGCAGTGTAAATCCGTTAAAAATGCGTTTCAGCGTTGACGGGAACTATTCAATTATTATACTGCTAAAAAAGCAATGATGATTTACTTACTAGTGAAATAACTGACCGAGCTCTGACTTCTTCGTTAGGATCTTCGAGTCTTCTGTTTACAATAAAAGTATAAAAATTAGGATGAAAAATAAAATAGATGGAAAAAATACGAGCGTAGAAAGAGTACGAAAAGGGAGGGTGTTGCCTCCCTCCCCACCCACGTTTATGCCACTCCCTTTATCCCCTATGTTAACTGTATTACCTTAGAATCAGGGAACAGGCAGGCTGTCTGATACCAAGAACGTTTATGACTTCAGCTATTTTCGCACGTAATTCCTGGAAATGAGGAAAATATACGCCATGAACGAGAATACATATATACAAAAGCGCGCACAAAACCAAAACAAACTAAAAATAATCATTGCTAACGTAAAAAATGAGGTATGAAACACTGCTGGTTGCATATATAAAGACAGAGATGATATATTTGTTGGACCTACTTTATTGGAGTGATCCCATAGCAGTCTCTCCAGCACATCAAATACTTTCTCTGGTGGTAAAACACTAAAAAGATCTCTAGATCCTGCAAAAATGCAAATGATAAAATGAAAGGACCCCTAGCCTGTTAACATCCGATTACAGGCAAAGAATTTCTCTCTACCATCGTTTTACTACCAGCTCTATGCACAGTATAGAGACTGGTGCAAATTAGCTCAAAACAACTCTTGCTAAGTAAGTTTTTCTCTGAAGTTAGTGGGAAGACTTAGTGTCTTGCTTACCAATAAATATAAGAAGTTCCGCTGCCTGAAGACGATTCTACATGTATATTGATAAAGAAATTCAGTAATAAATACTTTCACCACACAACACAGGACCTAGACCCAATCTATAAATCTATTTTAGCAAGTACATTGTTGAGTTACTTGTGGTGGGATTCACACTGCGCGTTACGTACCTTCCAGTTATGTGCAGTACACAGATGGTCCAGAAGGACTTCAAGGACGTACTTGTCTTTACAGTTCATTTGCTTGATTAAAACTAACAGTGCCTGACAATTTATATCATTAGTTAATCTGATTAACTGACTAATAAATTAATTAATAATGTAATTCATTGACAGATTAGTTGCAGATTGTTTAGTTGGTTTAATTGAAGATTAATAAATTCTTTACTTTCCTCCCTTGTTTTGGCTCCATTTCTCCCATCCACTTACCTCCGATTTTTCTTCTGCCGTGAGAGTAGCAAGACGGTTCACAAGAAAACCTTTAGAGACAGGTTCTACAACACAAAGTTTGCCCAGTCCAATGGCGGCACGGAAAGACAGAGGGTGATAATCTACTTTAACCAGCTCGATTAACAAGTATTGCAGAGATCGAAACTCAAGGGTTGACTGAAAATTAGACAAAAATGCTGTTAAGGGGAGTTCATTGAATACTTCAAGCTTGGTTCCAGCGACGCAAGCACAATCGCAGAGGCAAACGCAAACACAAGAGTCGTTATTTCGTATTTTTACAGTATATAGCAACTATTGTAACTAACCTGGTCAACAAATGGGATGTTCTTAGCCTTGGTCATGATGTCTAGAAGTTCTTTCACAACAAGCTCGTTACCTATGTGGGTTAAAAATAAGATGTTAAAGGACCATTCTCACTTTTATATTGAAATGTTTGTAATTGATAGGATCGTGCATGCACTTTACATGATGATCGAGGTGTATTCACCGTATCACAAAAAAAAGTGCGCGCACATTTCAAATATTAGTAGAGCAAAACAATAACAAGAGCAAACAAAGATCTATAATGACTGTTTCTGACAAGACGAATAAAAGTAATTCGGAAGCACATATCCGAAGGATTCCTTCTTACACCGCTAGTATGGGGAAAATAGTTATACGAGAGAAACCGATCGAAAAACCGATCTTCGGAGCAAGAGACAAGGGAAAGCAACATTCTCGTATAAGATCTTTACCTTTTTTGATATGTTCTATGACAATTTTCATCGCTTCTGGACTCCAATTACCTGAACAGAATACCAATCAAACAATAACGAAATAAATGGATGAATAGATGAATGAATGGAAGGATGAGAGTAATGAGATGTATGCTCTCATAAACTGAGAGGACGCGCAACACTTGGTTAAAATTGCCCATTTATAACAAACTCATACAACACAATTATAGCTGATAACCATGGTATTATCAGGTACATGTACACATATTACCACTATTATGTCGTTATCAATTCTTACCAAGTAGAATAAGGGCTTTACTTGCTTCGTACAAAACACGAGGATCTTTCGATAAGTCGTTAACCTACCAAAAACAATATAACACAAGGTCGATGAATACATAATACAAAGAACAACGTAGCATAACGTAATGAATAAATATTTACCGTGTCACTAAGGGCTAACAGGACCTTTGGATGACGACAGTTTAGTTGACCAACAGTCTAAAATACAGAAAAAAAAACAGTTTTGTCCCAGTGAGAGATTAAATACCACTGAAGGAATGAAAGGTGAAAGAAATGGAGGGAACAAAGTGAGAAGGGACTAAAGGATGGTAGGAAGAAAAGGAAAGAGGAGAGCAATAGTGGAAGGAGGGAAGAAAATAATGTGCTTCTTGTGTTTACACACTCACCTTAGCTGCTTCCATGGCAATGGTTTGGTTTGGCGACTTAAGCCCTGATTCCTCTAAAAGCTCCTATTAAACAATCACAAACATTTCCATTTAGGCGTTACTCTGAACCACTTTACTTTTTTTCAGCTCAAGGAATAGAGTTGCAATTAGATTGCCTATTTTAGCTTGACTATTGATGTACATATAAACATTCTTCGATCACAAAACGGTAGTTAGACATATACAAAAGGAATTGATCAGTGCCTCCATGGACCGTCTTTCTTTCGCGAATCATGATGACATACCATAAGTCTTTTCCATCTTGGAGTTCCTTCTTCAACAGTTATCGTATTCTTGTCTCTTGGACTTGGAATAGAATCAAACGCTAAAGGGATAAAAGCAAACCGTAGGCAATAAGAACGATCACTATAGTCAACTCTACTGTCAGTTTTTGTCTACTGTATCTAAAAATGCACAGTACAGTTGCTAAACATACCTCTCATTGCTCCTAATAATCTCTTTACAGCTGCTGGCTTCCATTCGTCTTTTCTATAGAGAGGCAATTATACTTAGAGATGATACCGAATGATGGTGAAGATGATGTTCACTATTGCTAACTAGTTCGGCATAAAGAAAGTAACTTACCTGAACAAACTAAATTGTTTCTCATCCTTTTTATCAGCTTTGCGTCCCAAATATCGAGACTAAAATATAAAATAGATAATAAGTGTAGGTTTTCAGTCTTCGGGAACATCGTATGCTCCAACATCGAGGTAGCAGGAGTGCCCATCGTCGCCCGCAACATGGAATTTTTCTCAAGCCACCTCAAAAACTCAGAAGCGCGTTTGTAACAAGAGTGCAACAGACTGACTTGTAGCTGTTTTTCATTCTAACGGTACGTAGCGCGCTACATGTATCCTCGTTTGAGATCCGTCCTTTATATACCTGTACGTTGCTTGTCTTTTTATGGATTGGCGGAGGTTTAAAGGAGACTAAACGAGGCATATCATGACCGCTCTTTATATCTTCGCACCATTCCGTCGACTGACGAGGGAAATATTTTGTTGACTTCTAAATAAAGGAAATAACAATAGCTTAAGAAAGACGACCAAAGAAAATACACAAAATTGTTAGTATTTCAGTATCGTTCCAAAAAGCTGCAGACCGCAAGAAACGCAAGCTAGTAGCATCACCATTAAATGATCATTTTCTGAATGTACATGTAAGCCATGAGCCATGTGGGATAGGCTTGCAATTTACCTTAATACGCATGCTCTAGTAGTAATCTCACCTTACTGCTTTGCTTAGGTTCTGGTGACATTGACATAAGTGTAACACTTTTCGGGGGACTTTCTGGTAGGGGAGGAAGGACCACGTCACGTGATGCTCCACTTGCGTCCGTAGTAGACTGAGTAAAGAAAATGCATCATTTCTTTCATATATCGTTTCATGGTTTCACTTTTCCCTGTAAAGTTTTGTGCTTCAAAAGAAAAACGGCAAAGAACTGCTGCACAATAACTGCGCTGTAAAGTCAATTTCCACGGTGAATATTACTAGTGCAATTTCAAATGCAAACGATTAAAAATACACAGACATACATTGAGAATGGCGTATTTTGAACTAAATTTCTCACACACGAAAGTCGACACATATAGCGGCCCTAATAAACACAGCACTGAGCTTAGTTATTTTTCAGTAGAAATTATTGTGTGCAAAGCAGGAATATAGCAAGCTGAAGACTTACTCGTGAGAAAGAGGTGACTTTTCCTCCTAATGGAGATACAAAATCTGCAACAAAACATATGTATTATTATTTCAAAGTATTTTTTTGTTTAATATAATTGCTTGTCAGCTCAAGGACTGGTATTTTGGCACTTTTATTTGGCGTTTTGACATGTGAAGTTTGCAGTAAAAATTGTACTGTAACGCCGTGATATAGTAATTAGTATGGAGATTTTAGAGTCTAACCTTCCTGTTTTCCCATAACTGTTTGCACTTTTTCATCTCTTGGTAATGGGTCGATGGTAGCCTGGGTAGCTTGACCAATTGCTTCGTACATGCGATGGAGGCGTAAGAGAAGCTTGTCGAGTGCGATTTTCTTCGTTATAAAGAGATATGATTTAAAAAAAACAATTGAGGAATGTAAGAAAGACGGATATCTCGTTGCTTATGGATAAAATGATGAAGAGAACGATGGAGCGAAGAAATGTCAACGAGCTGGCGGGCGAACAAGTAAACAAACAAATGAAAGAACAAACAAACGAAAGAGAAATCGAACGAGCGAATGACCAAACGTGAAGAAGACAAACAAAGTCACAAGCAAGCAGCAAAATTGTAAACAAATATCCAAGCAAACGAATACAGAAACAAGAAAAAAATGTCCGCTTTCCGCAATTATGAAGGCAAGCTGTAAAACAAACGATGATCTCTACTCACATGAACGTCAATGACACTGTTGACTTTCATTGGTTTTTCTCTCCACGGAATACTAGAGTCAAATTCGTGTTTCTCTAAAATGATAACAATTATATTGTTTTTTGTAGTACTATTCTCCAAAGATAACTACAACAACAGCCTCAATAACCAAAAAAAAAATAACAGAGGAAATAACTGAAGATGATTTACCTTTGGAAATAAAACTATCCTGGACAGCTATTCCTAATGCATGCCATGAACGCGAGTCTAGTTTCAACATATAGTCACACCACTCAAATTTATGATGGTCAGAATGCCAGTACTCTGGACTCTCCTTGTTGTCTGCATCAGACTGGATGCCAATAGTTGATTCCACAGTTAATGCTTGGGCTAACTGCTTGCTTTGAGTATCTGAATGTTACAATAAAACGAAAGTAGAATATGATATCTACATGTAGAATGGCTGAATATGGAGAGTAAAGAAGAATAAGATCAAGAACAACAAGAACTAGAAGAACAAGAACAAGAAGAGCAAGAAGAACAAGAAGAACATGCAAGAAGAACAAGAAGAACAAGAAGAACAAGAAGAACAAGAAGAACAAGAAGAACAAGAAGAACAAGAAGAACAAGAAGAACAAGAAGAACAATAAGTACAAGAAGAACAAGAAGAAAAAGAAGAACAAGAAGATCAAGAAGAACAAGAAGAACAAGAAAAACAAAAAGAACAAGAACAAGAAGAACAAGAAGAACAAGAAGAACAAGAACAACAAGAACAACAACAAGAACAACAAGAAAATAATGATGATGGCAGATGAAGAAGTTCTAAATACCTGGTCTTGATGTTGTCTCTTGTTCTTGTAGAACAAAAGAGCTAGCAATAGATGTCCCAGTGTCATCATCAAGTTCAGACTCTGAAATAGGTTCAGGAGAACTATCGCCATCTCCTTCATAAAGGTCTCCCTCTGGTACTTGAACAGGATAAGAACCTTTCAAACTATCATCTAGTGTTRCATCTTTCTTTTTYTTCTTCTTCTTTTTCKTTTTCTTACTATGAACATATCAATTATTTAAAGCTAGTACATTTACATTTTTCAATTTTATGTTTACTAAAACTATAATTGTTATCACTAAAGAAAAATAATGAGTTTTATAAAWTACCTCTGAACAAGATCTTTTTGTAAAGTGAATCTTTTATCTTCATTTTCTTTTCCTTTTTCTTCAATTTTGTCTTCAATATCTCTCCCAAGTACAACTTCTACGATGGACACAATATTTTTTTTAGTCACACCCATCATTAAGCACAATTTAATTAGGTATAAATAACTATTTGTAGAATATTTGTAATATTACGAGATCATGAAACACTTACCATTTGTGTCAGCTTTGAGAACCATCTTTGAAAAATCATCCACTAAATTGACAGAGTCTCTTCTGTAACCATGGTGATCATCTTGTTTATCAAAGTATCGTTCACGCTGATCCTCAGTTAACAGATTCCACATTTTTTCAGAAACATCATCCTTGTGTAGATACTGTTGAATTAAACAGGGCTTGTAGGTTAGAATGAAAACTAGTTCAAGTATAGAAAACATTGTGGATCAAAGAGACATGGCTTTAGGCTTGCAGGTATAAGCTTACATATTTATAACTCAAGTTAGYTCTACTTGTCTCAATAATAATCAGGAAAGGATATCTTACTTTGGATTGAGCTGAGAGGTTAACAGCACAGTAAGATTTTGTTGTGGATAGAAGTTTCTCTAGRCGTTGCTGCAGCCATTTCACTCTCTTTTTTGCAATCTCGATCTGTAGAGAAATTGTTTTCAATTACACATCATGTAAAATTAAATATTATGAAAATTAAACAACTATAAGCTATCCTTCCTCTGTCTAATTTGGACCTTTAATATGAGCATTCTTGCTGTCTTGGAACTTCTWAGAAGAATGAAGTTGAACCCACAAATAATGAAAGTTAGGTTGTGAGAAGCAGACAACATATCAATTAAATTGTTCATAAATCTTGTCATACCATGTACTTACCCCACGATCAGCTTTAATTGCTTTTTCAAGATCAATTCTTGCATATGCCAATTCATTACGTATCTTCATCATCACTTGCAGCATGACTAGCAACTCTTGACTCTTGTTYAAGAGTGTTTGTAATTCCTCCTCTCTCTTATCAAAACCACTCTATAATTTAACCATTTGAGGATGTTACAACAACTTCACGTTGCATTARACTTGTTAAATATTGGGAAGGGAGCTATATTCTTAGAGAGTAATGTCAATCCATACCCCAGAGCTTTGTTCAATATCTTTTAAGATCCTTTCAATAACATCTTGAGTGTCTTTGATTAAAATAACCTGTTGAACATTCATTTAATTACCTAAGTATTATATTGACTCAACAGAAGTGCGAAAAACAATTTTATTTTACATCAAATTGCGCAACCAATATCAAGTATGAATCTATGTTAGCCTCAAACCTGTTCTTCGATCAATGCAATAGATCTCTTTCTTCGATCAGAATTATTTTTCTCTCCTCCAAAAGATTGAGACAMGCTMGCATTTCTCTTRTCCCTAGAAGGCGATCGAGGAGTTCTRGGACTTTGAAYTACGACGGGGGATGAGGCCATCGCTTCTTCTTTTTGATTTCAAAGTAATATTTTAAAAGAAGCTAAAACAAGAATGAACGATGCTCAAATTAAAAACATAAACAAATCCAACATGTCGTCCGCCATCTTGCTCTGCACCGATTGGTTTCCATGGTGAATCACCGGAAGTACTCTTAAATTTCCCAAGCATCCCTGCCATCTCACCGGAAGTCAAAATACACGTGGTAGATTCAAAATGGCGGCGTCCATGGATAAAACTGAGGAAGAAACTTCCTTCAAATCCTTGGTAAAGTAGTGTTTTGAGTGATGATTAGAATAGTATTTTAATTTKATAATGTTTTTCCTTGATATGTTTGCGTTTTTAGGGCGTTGTTGAGCCTCTTTGCGAAGCTTGTGAGCAGCTTGGYTGGAAAGCACCGACAATCATCCAAAAAGAATCGATTCCTCTKGCCTTAGAAGGTAAMAACGTCAATCTAAAGTCTTAAAATAAAGATAAACTTGTATATCCAAACATAATCCTTGTGTTTTCACTGTTGCATTGTAAATATTCMTTTGTGAATGTAGTGTAGATCATAAAGTTTGTATATGTTTACATGACTAAATTACTAGTAACTGTGTTTATTCATTAAAGATTATGTTAATTTTGAAATAGGAAAAGACATCATTGGTTTAGCAGAAACAGGATCAGGGAAAACTGGAGCATTTGCTTTGCCTATTCTACAGAAATTACTTGAYAAYCCTCAAAGGCTTTTYGCTCTCATACTAACACCAACCAGAGAACTAGCCTTTCAGATATCAGAACARATTGAAGCTCTTGGATCTAGTATAGGAGTAAAATGTGGTAAGAYAGCTATGGTTTCTATCTAGATCCTGGCATGCATAATGACTGTTTGTTATTTGTCTGTTCACAGCTGTGATTGTTGGTGGTATTGATATTATGTCTCAGTCTCTGATGTTGGCCAAAAAACCTCATGTTATTATTGGTAAGATGATTGACATTTTTGTGGGTTTATACAGGGAGGGAGGGGAGGGTAAAATGACATGATATTGTGCGTGCATTACTATTGACACATCCATTTWTGTTGTAGATAAGTTAGTAATACAAGTACTCATTGAGTAGTTCTTAATGGAAATATTATCTTTTCTCCCTTTTTTCAAAGCAACCCCAGGAAGATTGGTTGATCACCTTGAAAATACAAAAGGATTTAATTTAAGATCATTGAAATATTTAGTAAGTAGTTGATTGACATACTAAGAATTCAATG